TTCTTCGGATGCATATAGAATGGAAAATATATTGAGGAGATATATATATATATATATATCTCCTCAATATATTTTCCATTCTATATGCATCCGAAGAAGTGGGCTGTAGTCCACGAAAGCTTATGCTCTAATAAATTTGTTAGTCTCTAAGGTGCCACAAGTCCTCCTGTTCTTCTTTTTGCGGATACAGACTAACACGGCTGCTACTCTGAAACCTTTCACTTTCCTTTATTTGCTAGCTAGACAAGTTTCAATCATCCAAGCAGGAAGCAGAAACAACTCTATTATGACTGGTGACCAATCACAAATAACAAAGAGCTGACACGAACATTTTGCCCCACTGTCTGAGAATTATTCAGCAAATAAACCCCTGTGAATAACAGATAACAGGGTCAGCTGTGAACGATTCACACTGAGAAAGATGGGTTAAAACCACAGTGATGGATAGTCACAATCCACAACTTGCCGAGCTCCAGTGAGTGCCCTGAAGTACCTTCCCAAATGGCACCGACTGCCACAGCTCATAGAGAACCAAGGTTGCTCAGCGGACTCCTCCTTCATTCCTACCCAGGACGCGCAGAGCAAGCAGCCACACCCACACCCAGCAGTAGTGAGCTCAAGATCCCAGAGTAGCTTGGTATTTATTCTATAAACTGGTTTGAATACCATTAGATTCCACTTACAATAACCCCATGATATGATTTATTCGTGTCTGCATGGGATCCCATGCGCCCCTGCCCCGTGAGCCGTCCTGGGGTCGGCATCTGCAGTCATTTCATGCCCAGCTGGGTTTTCAGAGCCTGGAGCCCAGCCATTTGGATGCTGCTCCCTCCGCACACGATGATGACAATGGAGTCCAGGTCTGGGTTCAAGTGCCCTTCCCGCTGCAGCTGTTGAACACGACCCGTGTAGAGTAAGGCCAGAGGGGCTCCACAGGCAGGCTGGACCAGCATCCGCTCATCATCTGGGCAATGCCAGCAGGAAGGAGAAAGAATCACAGAATATCAGGGGTGGGAGGGACCTCAGGAGGTCAACTAGTCCAACCCCCTGCTCAAAGCAGGACCAATCCCCAGACAGATTTTTGCCCCAGATCCCCAAATGGCCCCCTCAAGGATTGAACTCACAACCCTGGGTTTAAGCAGGCCAATGCTCAAACCACTGAGCATAAAGGAGGAACTCCGCTATACAGTGGCAGTAGGCTGTTATCCTCACAGGGGGAAGCCACTAGAGGGAGGACTGACCATTGGCACTAATTGGAGACTATATATACTATACTGCATATGCAACACGCTTGATCTGTCCACTACTGTTCAAATTCCCTACCATTACATTGTGCTCCAGGCCAGTTGAGGAAGCTCGTCTCTGCACTTACTTTCTTCAGGCCTATGGCACAAGTCCTTTATTGGCTGTAGCACAGTTGGACCCCTCTACTCGGGTGAAACCAAATATACACTATTAGGATTCATTTGGGTCACAGCTGGGCCATAATTGCATGGCACATCCGTAACTGTAACATAGATGGGTCTGCCAGTGTCTCTGATCCCTGGAGCCGATTTCCCCAGTCCCCGTTTGCAGAAAAATGGTAACTAAACCTACGTTCCTATTCCGCAGAGAATTGGCAGAATCAAGGGTCAACAATTTCCTTACCCAAAAGGGAGAACTCGGAGCATGAAGCCCCTCTGATAGGCGTTAGGTGGTGCTGTTGGCTCGCCGTAGTCAGCCGGAGAGCAGCATCAGCACCCAGCGTCCGTAGGACTTACCCAGGAACAGCTCCACGGCTTGAACTGCTTCCACGTCCTCCACCAGCTGGGAGATGACCTGGCATTCGCTGGCACACTCCAGTGCCCGGGCAGACACCGTCTTGGCTCCTAAGCATTTGGCCACGCTGGGAAATGGATAGCAAAAGAGAGAGCCCCCATTAGCGCTCCAAGCTGGGAAATCCAGCCCAGGCCAGAGGGTGGGGAGAAATTCACCCCTTCAGCTCCGCAGCTAGGACTTTGTGGTGGTGCAGGGTTCTAGGCTGGCAGCCCTTGAGGAATGCCATTGACCAGACACAGCACGGGACAGCTGTGAGCCCCACCAATGAGCCTCAGCCTTGAGTAGGAGGAAACCATTACAAGGCGGGAGTTTGGTCTCCGTGGCCCATCCAGCCTTTTGCCTCTCTGCTGGGATTGCCCCCAAGGTGGCCAACAGTGTTGCTGGGTTTTGGTGATGTGGAGCCTTGGATTGAGGCCTGCCAATCATTGCACACAAGGGCCACCAAAGGGTCAACAGATAGAGTAAGAACTTGCAGTCATTACTGACTCAGGCTGGATCTGAACCCAGTGCCCTTAGAGGTGGAAGGCGCTGGAGCTCTGCAATATTTGCATCCTGCTGCAGACCCAGAGCATGACCAGCAGCCCAATCTATGTCACACCTATAAAAACCTTTCAATGTGGTGTTCTCCAGAGCTTGTTACAAGTTGCACCTTAGACAGGACCTGACTGTATCGCCCTGACTGCAGCAAACCAGAGCACTGTCCACTCATTTCATCCAGAGCAAGGGATGGTGACTCACAGGTGGCCTTTGAAGTCCAAGGCTGGGATTCCCAAAGGAGCCTGCAGAGTTGGGCTCTTAGCTATCAAAGCTATTTCCACAGTCTCTCTATTGTAGTGTCCGAGCACCTCAAGAGCTTCAATGGATCTGTCTTCACACCAGCCCTGGGCAATACTCTTATCCCCATTGTCCAGGTGGGGAACTGAGGCACACGGAGGCTAAGAGACTTGCTCGTGGTCACACAAAGTCTACAGCAAAGGAGGGAACAGACCCTCTGTCTCCCCAGCCTGAGGCTACACCCAAACCACTGGCCCAGCCTTCCTCTCCTAACAGGCTCACACTGCTCTGGAAACCCCAGCCCTAAGAAGGAAGGCTCAGATGACTGTCTGGCTGGCCAGTTCAATCGGACCCTCATGGACAAAATTCATGGCAGATAAACTCTTATGGGAGTTCAGGAAACAGCCCCAGTATCCCCTTTGCTCATTTCAGCTTCAGATCCCTGGGAAAACACCCTGCTTCCAAATCTTCTTAGCGGGTTTCTGGCCAAATCAGTACCTGAGAGGCCACACCAGGCCCAGCGAGTGAGGACTTCTTATCTACTACTGGCCACTTTTAAAAAGCAAGGGAACATTGTGGGTTGTGGTTTTAAGTGTCTATGCTAGCACCTCCTTAACGTTTTGACATGTACAACACACTGATCTGTGTACAAGCCGGGGAATATAGTCCAGGGACATCTCTGAGATTCTCTCTTGAAGGGAATTGGAATTATCAATAATTAGAGGATTGGGCCAAAAGAAATCTGATGAGGTTCAACAAGGACAAGTGCAGAGTCCTGCACTTAGGACGGAAGAATCCCATGCACTGTTACAGACCGAGTGACTAGGCAGCAGTTCTGCAGAAAAGGACCTAGGGGTTACAGTGGAGAGAAGCTGGATATGAGTCGACAGTGTGCTCTTGTTGCCAAGAAGGCTAACGGCATTTTGGACTGTATAAGTAGAGGCATTGCCAGCAGATCAAGGGACGTGATCATTCCCCTCTATTCGACATTGGCGAGGCCTCATCTGGAGTACTGTGTCCAGTTTTGGGCCCCACACTACAAGAAGGATGTGGAAAAATTGGAAAGAGTCCAGCGGAGGGCAACAAAAATGATTAGGGGTCTGGAGCACATGACTTATGAGGAGAGGCTGAGGGAACTGGGATTGTTTAGTCTCCAGAAGAGAAGAATGAGGGGGGATTTGCTTTCAACTACCTGAAAGGGGGTTCCAAAGAGGATGGATCTAGACTGTTCTCAGTGGTGGCAGATGACAGAACAGGGAGTAACGGTCTCAAGTTGCGGTGGAGGAGGTCTAGTTTGGACATTAGGAAACACTATTTCACTAGGAGGGTGGTGAAGCACTGGAATGGGTTACCTAGGGAGGTGGTGGAATCTCCTTCCTTAGAGGTTTTTAAGGCCTGGCCTGACAAAGCCCTGGCTGGGATGATTTAGTTGGGGATTCGTCCTGCTCTGAGCAGGAGGTTGGACTAGATGACCTCCTGAGGTCCCTTCCAGCCCTGAGATTCTAGGAGTCTATGATTCTTAAGTTGGGCCCTGGACAGAGATCGGGTCTGTCCTGATTTCTGGCTTTTTCTGTCTTGAACTGCCAGACAGGGAGCGCAGGTCCCTGGCTGGCTGCTGGCGTTCATAAATCAAGGGAGTTCAGGGTGGGAATATCATTCACAGAGGGAGGGTGGGTCTAGGCTCGCCTAGCATGGCAGGGCTGCCCCACAGCTGCAGACCCTGGAATCCCAGGGTGTCTCCAGCCCCAGGGCAGCCTGCATGGCGGAGCACCGCAGCATCCAGCCAGGCAAGCCGGCAGGGAACCAGGCAGGTTCCCAACGAAACCAGGCCTGTGATTCAGCAAAGCAGGGGTGTGGAAAAGGGAAGCCGGCCCTTGCATTTCCTATTTGAAAGCCAAGCAGAGGATTCCAGCCTCCAGAGCTGTCAGTCCGGCAGCTGATACCAGCTGCAAACTCCCCACAGGAGAGTGAGTGAGGGGCATCAGCCAACAGGTGCGGGGTGGGGGGGGAATTGAGGTGACAGCCCCTCCCCCACCACATTGGGTAAGGGCTGCGCCTCTTCTGAAGCACTAGCTCGACTATTATTGGTCCCACTTGCTCCCTTCCCCACCCACCCGCTTGTACATCACATGCGCCTGCCATTTCCCTTCCCTATTATTGTAACGAGTTTGTACAGCCCCTAGCGCAACAGCCAAGGCCTCAACATGCTGTTGCAAGGCAATAAAATAAAATAATAATAATATCCTCAGATCCCGCCTCCCCTCCCCGCACCCTCTGCAGATCCCCCATCCTCTGCCCACACCCCCTCTGAGCCCCCCCACCGCCACCCCCTGCAGAGCCCCCTTTGCAATCAATTCCCTCTTGTCTCCGCACTCACCTGGTTATCTCTGGCAGGGTGACCAATCTCCCAGCCCTGAGCGCTGCATTGAAGCTGTCAGCTCCTTTGGTTTCCACAGCAACGATGGGTACATCCTGCCAGCCCACGTCCTGCAGGCCGGCCACCACTCCAGCCAGCAGCCCTCCACCGCCCACCGCCAGGACGATGGCTCCCGGCTTGTGGCCTAGCAAATCCTTCAGCTCCCTGACCATGCTGGCATGGCCTTGCCTATGGGAACAGGGGTGGAGACAGCAAACCGGCTGTGAGACACCAACCAACGGGCACTTCGGTGTGATGCGTCCCTGCCGTGCCGGGCTTGGACAATGGCTGGGCAGCCCCCTAGTCCCAGGCAGACATAGCTGCAGTTCCCCACGGAGCTGGTCAGGGCACATGCTGCCACCTGGGCCAGGTGGCAGCAAGAATCTTGGAGATAGCAGAAGTCAGGAGAGGTGAGGAGGGGGCTTGGGACCATGAGAAGAGGGATGGATAGATGCACAAGCACAACCCGGGGGGTCGAGGGGTTCCCCAAATGTCTCCTCTCCTGAGGCTCCCCCTCAGATCAGTGGCAGGATTTCAGGGCTTAGCCACACCCTACCTATCAAGTCTGACATCGCTACAGCGCTGCACACCTCCGCTCTGCCATGCCAGCCTCACGTGGCCCGCTCTCTGCCCCCGAGCTGGCAGGAAACCCCCGCCCCGGCTTCCTGCTCCTGCCCTCCTCCTGGATTGGGTGGCATCGGAGACGAGACCACGCGGCGCTGCCCCAGGGTCTGAATTGAGGACGGGGAGACCAGCCTGGCTGCATGTGACCATTAGGAGCATGCACAGCCCTGCAGGAATGGGCCACAGCCAAGGGCAAGGGGCACCTGGGCCAGTGACTGAGGCCGGAGGGGCACTCGGACTGGTTGTTTGCGGACAAGGCTGCTGGAGTGATTTCAGGGGGGACTCTCGCCTCCCCAAAGGCTGTCAGAGGCAGGGTGGGTGCTTGGAACAGGGAAGCCGCCCCACCCTTCATTCCCTTGAGCCCCGTTCCCCCATGCTAGTCCCTCAACTCGTGCTGAAGTTACACACCTGCTTCAGCATCTTCCTCAATCAGGACCTACCGGGTCACTTTCTCCCACTGCTCAGGCACAGAGAGACACTGGGACGACCGGCAGGACAGGCCCAGCAAATTCCCCTTGGAAACTCCCAGCTGGCAGCATTCAAAGACAACCCTCCTGACCCGACAGCTGCCCCAGCGCGCGGAGATCTGGTCTGATGGGCCGCTCTTTGCTCCGGAGCTGTGCTGTGACCATCCCTTGCCAGCTCAGTCTAAAGGGCTTGACCCACCCACACGCCCACTGCACACCGAGTCCACCGGGAGCAGCTGGGACGTGGAGAACCCGGCAACCTCCTGTAGTTCTCTCCCT